TCTCTCCAGTCCAATGAAGGAACCTTTTATCTATTACTTACACACACACACACACACACACACACACACACACACACACACACACACACACACACTTACTTTTCTTTTGCTTCTGGTCCCAGGAGGTAAAGCTGGGATCAACACTGTAATTCTAAACAAGCTTAGAAAACACGTCAAAAATTTCATCTTGCTAATGAATTTGCACCAAAGCTATTCAAACAATGGTTGAAGACATCATACAACAAAGTTACTTTTAGAGGCAATAAAGCAAATCCTCTGAAATTCTGTGTAGACTCCTTTGATCAAAGACCCTCCTACACTGTTTTGACTAAGCATGTCCTAAATAAAACACTTGTACTATGAATGTCTGTGATAAGTCTTTATTGTAGTACTTTTTAAAAAAAAAATCAGGATCAAGATTAGAATTAATATTTCTTTTTTAAAAAATATTTACTTAGTGTATATATGTGTGTGTCAAAGTGTCTGCATGTGTATCACATGCACTCAGGAACCTGTGGAGGACAGAAAAGAGCACTGGATCTCCTGGAAGTGGAGTTACATGCAATTGTGAGCAGCTGTAACAGTGCTGCAAGACCAGTAAGCAGTCCTAACCCAAGCCCTCTCTCCAGACTAAAACTAATATTTCTATCAAGCAAATGACAATTTAGTTTCAATATACTTAACACACTTTCGGCTTTTAGGCAAACACCCACTTAATTCTGCATGCTCTCTAAACACTTAGTGTCTTATCTATTGGCATTTAAAGATGCAAATAACAAGGCTAGTACTTTCAAAGCTAATGTATCACATCCTACATGTGCTATATCATGTTGCAAATAAAAATATGTCAAAAATAACCTATCTGAAATCCTTGGAAGCAAGAAATATTCAGATTTATTTTTAATGAAAATACAGAGCACACAGACCATAACACATGCAGTAGAGTCTAAGGCATCATTAGCAATAAATACTTTGATACAATCACTGCAAAACATGTGACTATTCACATAGAGTAAGATAAACAGACTGCACATAGCACTCTGGCAGTTGAAATATGTAACATGATGCTAGAGAAATGGCTCAGTGGTTAAGAGCACTGACTACTCTTCCAAAGGACCCAAGTTCAATTCCCATCACCCACATGGCAGCTCACAACTGTCTGTAATTCCAGATTCAGGGGATATGACATCCTCAGACATACATGTAGGCAAAACACTAATGTTCATTAAAAAAAAATTCTGTAATACCACACACTGCAGGGATTGCCCGAATATAACAGTTTAAAAAAGGAAACACACACACAGAAGGCAGCCATCTTAGAATGCCTGCTGTGTCAGTTAACTTGTGGTTCTTGAGACCACAATATCAAATGTAGTGAGACCCAAGAGTCCATTTCAAAACTTAAATACAAGCCAAAACAACAAAAACTCTAAAACAATATAAATTTATAATAAGTATCTAAGGGTTTCCATTGCTGTGATAAAACACCATGATCAAGGACGGTGGAGGTGGAACATGCCTTTAATCCCAGCACTCAGGTGGACTTCTGTGAGCTCGAGGCCATCCTGATCTACAGAGGTAGTTCCAAGACAGCTAAAGCTACACAGAGAAACCCTGTCTTGAAAACCCAAACCAAACAAACCAAAACCCAAACGAAGACCTATCATGATCAAAAGCAACTTGGGAGGAAAGGGTCTATTTCAGGTTACATGTCCTGATCACCATGCACCATGAAGGGAAATCAAAACAGGAACTAAAGGCATGAAAATAGAGGCAGGAACTGAAACAGAGACATGGAAGAACACCGCTTACTGGCTTGCTCTTCATGGCCTGCTCAGCCTGCTTTCTTTTCCTACCCAGGACCACCTGCCTAAGTGTAGCACCAAATACAACAGGCTGAGGTCTCCCACAACAATCCATCAAGAAAATGCCATAGGCTTGTATACAGACCAATCTGGTAGGGAAACTATCTCAACCAAAGTTTCTTCTTCCCAAATAACTCCACCTGTGTCAAGCTGACATGAAACCAGCCAGTACAGTGGGAACTGGAAGTAAGCCATATCACTACTCTGAATTTTGTCAGACCAGATTAGAAAAAAGTATGTTTCTACATTTTGAGATAGTGTTGTACAGTAGAAAAAAAACAAGGCTTTTAATTCTGAAGATATAGGTTTGGTTAGTGTTTGTACTGCTCACTAGTGATGAAACTATAAGTAAGTCATTTGACTTTGTGAGCTTTGCTTCTCTCATCTGTAAAATATGGATAATAAACTACTCTGTAGAATCACAGTATAGATTAGGAATGATACAAAACAGAACAGCAGGGGAAAACGGGAGAATAAAAAGTTATTTTCATTCCTACAGAGAAAGGAAGAGGGAACAAAAATAGAAGAGGGAAGTTGTTTTATATGCCTAAGAATTTTGCAAGAGGAAGTACTTATGAAGCTTCTACAACACTGGAAAAAGAAGTAAATAATTTTAAATATTTATTTGAACTATAAGGTAATTAAATAATTTTTCTACTATTTATGTTATTTGATGCTCTAAATGTTTTAAGATGTTGATAGATATTCCCCCAAACATAATCAAAATGGAGTGATTTTCTCTGAAGTTCTTATTATAAAGTACAGTACTTTATAATTTTAAAAAATGAGATTTGTGACTATTAGCTTGTACAACTAAATGTGATAAAAGCAAGAAAAGTAGGAGAATGCTCTCGCTGCAGCTGAGAGAAAATACTCACTCAGTTTTCTGCTGCAGTTGCTCAGAAAGCTTTTTGTTTTCCTCCTGAAGAGTATTCTTTTCATTCACTGATCAACATGGAAGAGAAAGCAGATTGATGTCCACGTCAGTTCTTACGACAACATTTATGAAGAAACTAGGACTTTATTCCTTTGCTTTTGAGACAAGGTTTTACTCTGTAGCCCAGACTGTTTTGAAACTCAGTATATGGGCCAGGATAGCCTCAAAAACAAAACAAAACAAAAAACCCCCAAACAACAACAAAAACACAGAAATTCTCCTGCCTCAACTTCTTAAAAGGGATTGCTGACACCTGACCAGAAATGACGATTTCAAATCCTAAATCATAATGTTATGCAAGGTCAGTACTACTGTGCAAACTAGCTTGCTCCTGGGTAGTGATTACTGCATTTCATATCATGCCAAATCTATGTAACTGATTGATAATTTTATATAATGCTTATGAGTAAAAGAATATTAAGGAGTAAAGTCTAATTAGTCACACTGAGGACAAGAAAAAATTCCATCTGAGTTATTCAGTCCTATTTTCAAATATTATTTTAGACACCTTGAAATAAATTTAATTACAAAAATAGTATTTCCTAGTGTCCCCAAGGTCTGGGTTTGATATTGAGTATTACAAACAATAATGCTCAATATTAGTAAAATACTTATAAGCACATTTGTAAAATTAATCTTTCTTTATACCTTTTTGTAAATAATTTAAACATGTCCTATTATAAGTTGTACCTGATGGAATGAATCTATCTCTACTCTATCTTTCTGTCCTTGTTTATAAGGCAGAAAAATAACTACAGGATGTAACTTCCACTGGAGACAGCCCCAGGTTCCTATCAGAACCTGCATGGGTCTGCATGAGACAGAATATTAGAGCTGAAAGAAGTAGACACAAGCCCCCACTCCTAACTCAGGAGCACTTTCAACTTATAAACACTTGCAAATGAAACTTTAGTTTCCTCCAAGGGAGTCTCATGGGGAAAGAAGCTTTAAGAGTAAGCTGCATGCGGAGCAGCAGACAAATGGCATCTTTGGGGGTTCCTTGTCTCACAATGTCATGTTAGGGCTCTTCTTTTTTTTCCTTTTTCTTTTTTGAGACAGGGTTTCTCCGTAGCTTTTGGTTCCTGTCCTGGAACTAGCTCTAGTAGGCTAGGCTGGCCTTGAACTCACAGAGATCCTCCTGCCTCTGCCTCCCTAGTGCTGGGATTAAAGGAGTACGCCACCACTGCCTGGCCTTCCTTTTTTCCTTAATAATTTTTTTAACTGATTTTATTATCTGTTTTTTTCTTCTCTCATTTTACCCTACATATAGATTCTTTGCATATATACAATGGCTTCCAGTTTAGTGTTTTCAAGGGATTCGAGAGTGTGCTCTTGGGCTCTTTTCCCTCTGCTTGTTTTGTCCTACAACAATGTCAGTTTTGTTTCACGTTATTACATTTTATTATCACAGAAGTCTGTTTTCTAATGAGAGAAAGAAAGGGGGTGGATCAGGATCAAAGGAGGTGAGGAGGATCTGGGGGAAGTAGAAGACGGGAAAGTGTAATCAGGATATATTATGTTAGAAAAAAAATTTTTTCAATGAAAGGAATAACAAAATCTCATTTTACCTACAGCAAAACTTAGCACAATCCATGTGAAGTCGCTCTATAGCACAACATTTTTTTTCTTCACATATACTAACAATATACAAAGGGAAGTCCTGGAACAATATGCATAAAATTCAGCCTTTCAATTCTTAACTTTGTAGTAGGTTTTTTATTTTTTGAGACAGAGTTTCTCTGTGTTGCTTTGGAGCCTGTTCTGCAACTAACTCTTGCAGACCAGGCTGGTCTCAAACTCACATAGATCCGCCTGCCTCTGCCTCCTGAGTGCTGGGATTAAAGGCGTGCGCCACCACCCGGCTTGCAGTAGGTCTTAAATACTATGCCACATGTCAATTTTACCATTCCCATCATCAATACTGTTGCTTTTATTTAGAAATAGACTGGACTGACTGGGCCCTTTCATACAATGGGCTAACAATTTCTTCAAGAATTCTTGGAGAATTTGTCCAGTAAATTTTACTTTTAATATTAAAAAAGGAATTAATAAATGGTCGCTGGGGAGATGGCCCCATGTTAAAATGCTTGCTGTACAAACATGAGAAGCTGAGATCACGTCTCCAGCATCCACATAAAACCATGGTATGGTAGCACATGTCTGTAACCTTAGTACTAGGAATGTGGAGCAAGGAGGGCAAAGACAGGAAGATTTCCCAGGGATTGCTGGCCAGCCAGTCTAGCCAAGACTGTGAACTCCAGGCTCAGAGAGAGGGCTCTCACTGAACACAAAAACTAAAGTGAAAAGCAGAAGAGGATACGCAACACTGACCTCTGTCCTCCACATGTGCACTTAGGCACATGAACCTGCATTCCCATATGCAAGCATAAATCACATTTATTCACAGAAATATAAACGAACTGAACAAATGATTCTCTCATATAGAGTACTATTGTGCAAAAAGAAAGACTGAGCATAATTAGTGGTGAATGTCTTTTAAAACTAGACTAAAAACTCAGGATTTCTGGTTAGTGTTAACTGTTAACTTGATAAAATCTAAAACTGCCTTTATGCATGCCTACGAGGGAGTAGTCTGATTAAGCTGAGGTGAGTGGGACCTTTCCCCAAGCAGGGATCTTGAACCATGTAAGTGGAGAAAGACCTGAGTACTATGGGTGCAATATTAGTTACGGGAAGCTCTTGCCACTGTGACTTCCCTGCTGTGATGGACTAGACTTGTAAGCCAAGATAAGATAAGCCCTTTCCCTTAAGTTTCTTTTGTTATAGAGTAATAAGAACAGAAACACATCACAGTAATAAGAACAGAAACTAAGACAGGATTATGTTTTAGAATTACCAGGAAACTGTATGGTGGCTCAAATCTATTAACTTCAGAACTTGAGAGATCGAGGCAGGAAGATTGCCACAACTTCAAGATCAGCCTAGGCTGCAGAATGAGAACCTATCTCAGAAAACGAATCCAAATAAAACTAAGAAAATCAACTAGCATTTTTCATAGACAAATAGTAGAAAGACCAAAATGTTGATATGTAGTACAGCATATGGCAAAATGAAAACAAAGCACAGACAAGATGACTTCTGAAGATAATTAAAAGAAATGAGTACCTTGAGCCAGGCAAGTTAAAATATTATCATAATTCCAATATTGAAGAAGCTGAGGTAGGAGGATTATAAACTCAAGCACAGAAGGCTAGTGTGGGCTACAATGGAAGACCCTATCTTGAAAAGAGAGGGGAAGAAGGGGAGGGGAAGGGAGGGAAAAGGAAAGGAAAAGATTATCTGAACTAATGGAGGATGTATAAAGACAAACAGCCCATTACGTAGAAACGGTAGGAGGTGGCAGCTCTGTTTTTCTTTAGGGATGACCAAAGGAAAAAAAAAATGACTTTAATAGACAAGAGCTAGGAATTTAACAAAACACTACAATGAATGGGTAGAAAGAGGAAACTGAAAATAATATACATGAAAATCAAGATGTACTCACCTTTGTGAGCATACTACATTGTTGTATTTAACTCTACTATGCATCTAACTGCATTCAATCAAGATAAAAGAAATAAAATATAGACATGCCCAGAAATACGTTTCTTAATGTTTCTTGTAAAACTTGGTGAGATTTTAAAGGACAATATAAACAGTACATATATAACTCATTGTATATATAAATACATATCTATATATTTCTTACTAAAACAATAAGATTATATCTATAAAAGATACCAAAAGTTTTAATATGTAAGCAATTAATATAATTATAACCAATTCCCTAGTAAGTTTTAACAACAGAACAGTATACTTAAAGTATGTAGTAAAAAATGAAAGGGAACTCACTAAGCTCTGTAATAAGCTTAAGATTCTGCTGTCGGATATTTTCAAACTCCTGCTGCTTTTTGTGCATATGTTCTTCAGTTACTGCACAGCGATCACACAATCCTGCTCTTAACCTGTGGACAGAAACAAAAGTATTTTTCAGCTACTAACACATATTTCCTTATACAGAACGAGTATCCTTTTTCATAGATTTGGCGCTCTGGTGTTTCAGATTTTAGTTTCTTGGCTTTGTAGTATTTGCAGTCTAAAACCATTTCTTTTAAAAAGTCCAAAATTTGAAATGTCACTTCATATAAAAATTTTGGAATGTTGGCATGACATTGAAAAGTTCTGGGATTTCAAAGCATTCTGAATTCTGGAATTTTAAAAAAATTTATTTTTATTTCCTAATTATGTGTACAGATGTGTGCCTGTGTGTACATGCACATGAGTACAGGTGCTCCAGGAGACTGAGGTGTCAGGTCCCCCAGGAGCTAGAGCTGCAGGGGGTTGTGAGTGGTTGGACATGAATGTAGGAATCAAATTCAGGTGCCAACCCGGCTCTATAGCTACAGATGTGGGATTAAGGATGACCAAACTATAAAAGCATTTGAAGAGTTTTGTATTTTATAAGGATCTAAAGAACTGACTTGGTGATTACAGCGACAACCATCTATTTAATACTAACCCTTTAATACACTGGTATCTAACCTGAAACCATGCTACGGTATTATTGGCAGAATAAATTCCCATAACACTAACAAAGAAATACCGTATTATTGCCTATACACTGCAGTTTTGGATGAAATTATCATTTTAATTATTACCCAAAGTCTTTTTTTTCCCTTTGTACCCTTAAAACTTTTCTTTTTGAGAAATAGAAAGCTATTTTATTAACACGCTTTATATTTACAGTTAATTAGCTAATCAACATCAACATGCAAAAATAAGTGCTAGATACAAACCTCTACAACCCTTAAAACTTTTTATTTATTTAAGATGGTTTCACCTTGTAGACCTGGCTGGTGACCAGGCTGATCTCACACTCAAAGATCCTGCCTCAGCCTCCCCAGTGCTGGAATTAAAGGCTATGCTACCACACCTGGCTAAAAATTATTCGTATTTTGATTTTGAGATTAAAGGCTATGCTACCACACCTGGCTAAAAATTATTCGTATTTTGATTTTGAGATAGGATTCATCCTATTATGCTGTCTAGGCTGATCTTACTGTGTAACCCAAACTGGTCTTGAATTGATGTGGGAGTACCCTGTGAGCTGTGATTACCATTAATGAATGGAGAAACTGTCTTGGCCTGTTGATAGAGCACATCTTAGGTAGGCGGGGAAGACAGAACTGAATGCTGGGAGGAAGAAGCAGAGTCAGAGAGAGACACCATGTGAGTTTGAGGCCAGTTTGGTCTACAAAGTGAGTTTGAGGACAGCCCACTAATCAATCAACAAAATATCAACAAAAAATAATTAAGAAATGAGAATCAGATGCTCATTTTCCAGCAGCCCTTGTGCTGCCTTGGCTCTGTGGTCACCAGGACTGCAAGATGGTATCATTTATGCCTCTGAAGAAAAACTCATGAAATTAAACTGGGACATTGATGCTAGATTTCACTCCCCACAGGTTCTATTGGAGCCTTCCAGAGATTAGGAAGAATGCTATAAATACATTACGCATGGAAAGACAGCACTGTAGATCTTAACATGGTGCTGGCAGCCTGTTTTTCAGTTATTACATTTCTTACGAAGAATTCAAATATGGGCAGTAATGCAAGTACCCTGAAGAGGGGTCAGTATGGAAGGCACTGCACACCTAATGACTAGTAACAACTGGCTCATGTAATTTTAAAGAAGGAATGGAAATCATTCCATCTTAAGAACCTTAACCCCAATCCTACTAGCAAGCATCAAAACTAATGCTTAGAAATGTTCACAAAGCTCAGTTGGTGGAACATCCCCAGAAAGCCTGGACCAGTCTGAAATACCACATAAACTGGGTGCGGTGGTACACACCTGTAATCTCAACATGTAGGAGATAGAAATAGGAGGTTCAGAAGTTCAAAGCCATCCTGAGCTATATAACAAGTTTAAGGGCAGCATGTAATATGTGAGACTTTGTCTTGAAGGAGGGGGACACATTTTCATAAAATAGATGTTACTTTCAACACCCTCAACAAAATATCGATTTTTATACTTTAAGGCTTGTCCTAGGAAGCTGAAAAGATAGCTGTGACCTAAAACATCTGCGGCTCTTGCAGAGGACTGGAGTTTAGTTCTCTGCAGCACCAGGCATCTCACAACTGCCTATTTCCCTCTCCAGTGGATCTACCATGAGCACATACAAACATGAAGACATACATATACACATAAATGAAAGATTAAAGAAAAGAAAAATTAATAACTTGCTCTACATATCATTCTTATATGTGACATAGAAATAAAGAGAAATTTAAAGGCAAAACTTTACTAAAAGTACATTTAAAGATAGTATTCAGTAGCAATTAGAAAAAGAACCTTCCAAAAAGAATAGGCTACAAAATAAGCAATGTTGAAGATTTCACATTTCAGATCAGTTTTGGCAATGTGAGTCAAGCATAAATACTCTTGAGATGTAATTAATTTACACTGACATTCATAAAACTAAGGCCCACGAAGTATCACAAAACCATAGAAACTATGGGCAATAAGGAAAGTTTCAGATTTGATCTATTTACATATTAACTATGAAATCCTGGAAAAGCTTCTCTCTTCTTTGCCGGCTATTTTCTTTTATGGAAAATAGACCTACCATGTGTCTTATGGTGTTAATTTGAAAACCAATTGCCAGATGCCTGAGTATAAAGTTAATCCAAGATGCACACAGACGCTCACTGAAAATGAACCATGACCCGGGCACAAAAAAACACTGAAGACTGTAATCCAAACATTGAGAAGGTTGAGGCAGAAGGAACGAGTTAAAAGGCAGCCTAAAAACATCTATCTCAAAGATAAAACAGCAGGCAGGCAGCAACATTTTAAGTGAAAAACAGCAATGATTCAAATGAAATCAATGACCAGAATAGTCAGAGGTTAGACGTCTTACAATAAAGTAGTCTAGTTCTAAAGAATTACAGAATTAACAACTAGACATCTTAGTTGAATAATTTATAAAACACTTCCAAACGATGTACTGACACTTCTCAAAAAGGCTGTAGGATAGGACAACTCACATAAAGTATAGGTGGGCACACACCCTTAAATACCAAAATATGGGAGGCAGAGGCAGGCAGATATCTTTGAGTTCGAGGCTGGCATGGTATACATGCTTCATGACTGTCAGAGTTTACATAGTGGGATACTGTTTCAAAAACACCAATGAGTAACAAATAAAAAGAAGAAGTAAAAGTTACAAAAGCTAACTAAAGACCAATTAAATACAAAGTGAAATATGTTTTAAGACACTGGAAAGAAGGATCTTCAAAAGGGCTTAGATAAGAACGTGAGGAAGAAATGGAGTCAATTGTACAGAGCCAGTTCAAGCAAAACAAACAAAACCATATTCTAAAACTGTTTCCTCCACACCCATTTCACTCAAGTTTTGTCTCAGTATCACTGCCTCAGAAAGGCTGCCCATTGAAAATCTTAAGTATCCTTCCTATTGTCACTCAATATACCAGGTAACTACATCTTCTTCCCAGCACTATGTCTATAAAATCCTCTTTATACACTGAAGTTGGAATTAAGATTTAGATATGTGATTCCCAAAGCATGAAGATCTTTTCCACATACTACTGCCTATTCAAGTAAGTGGATATCCTTACGACTAGAGATGACACTCAGTTCTGATCTGCATTGTGCAGAATTCTACATTATTTTGGAATGATAAGACGGTCCTGCAGGTAAAGGCTTTTGCTGCCAAGTATGATAACATAAATTTGATTCCTGGGACCCTACATGCACATCAAGGCACGTGCACACATACACACAAAATATATAAATTTAGAAATCACTCCACCACTTTAAAAAAAGATGCAAGTTCAGATCAGTTAGGCCTTTTTGTAACATATATGAACATGGAAAGCACTCAATTCTGGAAGCGTTTTTATTCCTGGGTATTGATTTAATCTCAGTTTTTAAAAAAAGGCTATGTATGAAAGTTGAGAATGTTAACTCAAGAAATTTCAGAAAGAAGAATCTCTACATTTGATGAAAAGTAAAAAACTATAAAAGAAAAATCAGAGTAGAAAAGAAGACAGAATAGAATTTATTACTTTCAATATACTTGGAAATAAAAGAAAATGTAAGCCTTGAATGATATCTAACATTAAAGATACCATTTATACATTAAGCTAGGACTAATAAAAATGAGAAAAACCACACAAAACCTGGGAGTACATCCTCAGTGTCAGAAAGGACTTATTCAACGATGACATAAAACTAAGGGTGGGGGGAGTCCCTTTCAGTTCCAGAATGGACTCCCACTGAGAGGAAAATAAATATTATTCAAGTACCAAACTTACCTATCTTCTAAAATTTTAATGGTTTCCTGAAGGACTTTCTGTTGGTCTCTCAGCTGTTGATTTTTGGTGAAGAATTCTTCCAGCCTTTGTGCATCTCTAAATTTAAGAAATAAATAAAGATTCCACAGAAAATTAAAAGGATAGTTCTGACACTATAATTCCGAAGTTTGTGTTATGCTGTGCTGGGGAAGGCAGTTCAGACAGTAAAGTGCTCGCTCCCATCCCCAGCAACCGGGGAGGCAGAGACAGGAGAACCTCTGGGGCTTGCTGGCCAGACAGCCTAGCAAAATCAGTGAGATCCTGTCTAAAAACTTAAGGAGAAAAGCAAATGAAAACACCCAACATTGGCCTCTGGTCTCCATACACATGTGAATACACATATGTTCACACACATTACCTTGTCTTAAAAGAAAAAAAAAAGCTAAATGGCTGATTAGGGTAGAAGTATGTTATTGTTTTTTTCCTTAGTAAAATAAAGATTTTTTTTCCATTAAGCAATGGCAGATTTCTAAGATTATCAGATTGACTAATTGACCATTATGAAAATTATTTGTTATGAAATAGATTCCTAGTTACTAGGAAATTGAATACTCATTTTTGTTTTTCTCCCCCCGAGACAGGGTTTCTCTATAGCTTTGGAGCCTATTGTGAAACTAGCTTGTGTGACTAGGCTGGCCTTGAACTTACAAAGATCTGCCTGCCTCTGCCTCAGGTGTGCTGGGATTAAAGGTGTGCACCACCATTGCCTGGCCTCATTTTTGCTACTAAACTGGCAAGCCCCAATTTACCTGAAATCCACAGACATTAAAGAAGGTGCTAAAAAGACCAATGACTGGGAGCTACAAATTAAAGTAAAACATTGCTATTACCCACTGACTAACTAGCCGTGTTCCCACTCTTTAGATTCAGAAGTATTATAAGTAATTTTAAGAAACTCATCGTCAACACTAATTTACACATCCAATAAGCATCTTTATGTGGCTGTTTAGCTATGGGTGAAAAATAATACTCGTAAAAAGTATATTTATGTTGGGCAGTGGTGGTGCACACCTTTAATCCCAGCACTCAAAGGCAGAAGCAGGCAGATCTTTGTGAGTTTGAGGCCAGCCTGGTCTACAGAGCGAGTTCCAGGACGGGCTCCAAAGTTACACAGGAAAACCCCGTCTCAAAAAAACAAAAACAACCAAAAAAAGTACAAAAACAAACAAACAAAAAAAAAAAACCCCAAAAACCAAATCTATGTTTACAATAAGCAAATCTAGAACAATTCTAAGACTGTGTAATTCAATTTGCTGGGTAATTACTTTGATTCAAGAGAAAATAAAATGCTACTTCATAACTTAATCATTTTAAATAGTAATATTTTAGAAAATAAAATTGACAGGTTTATTGGAAGGATCCACATTAAAAAAAAACAAGTTCTTGGGGGCTGGAGAGATGGCTCAGTGGTTAAGAGCATTGCCTGCTCTTCCAAAGGTCCTGAGTTCAATTCCCGGCAACCACATGGTGGCTCACAACCATCTGTAATGAGGTCTGGTGCCCTCTTCTGGCCTGTAGACATACACACAGACAGAATATTGTATACATAATAAATAAATAAATATTTAAAAAAAAAAACAAGTTCTTTCAAAAACATGTAGTGAAAGTAATGTAAAATTCATAATCAAGGAGTAAGCACAATAATTTCTGGGTTTTGGTATTGCTTCTTACAAATGATCAATATTTGACTCTTAAAGTCATTTGAATCAGCAGTTGTTAATTTAGAATTTACATTAGTAACTAACACTGACCCATGAAGCAACAAAAAAGATTTCAACCTATCAGAAAAAGCCAAACACTGAAGCTGAAGAGATGGCTCAGTGGTTAAGAGCACTGGCTGCTCTGCTAGGACTCAGGATGGATTCCTAGCAACATGACTGCTCACAACCATCTGTAACTCTAGTTTCAAGATCTAAGACTGTCTTCTAAACTTCATGTGCACCAAGCACACACATGGTGCATAGGCATACATGAAGGCAAAATATCCAGACATATAAATAATGATAATAACAATAAAATTCCTTTTTAAGGACTGGAGAGATGGCTCAGTAGTTAAGAGCTGTGTCTGTTCTTCCAAAGGTCCTGAGTTCAATTCCCAGCAACCAATGTGCTCACAACCATCTGTAATGAGGTTTGGAGCCCTCTTCTGGCCTGCAGGGATACATGAACACTGAATACATAATAAATAAATAAATCTTTAAAAAACTCTATTTTAAAAAGTAAAAGTGAACAAGAACTCCCAGAGTGTTGAGAGTATTGTACAAGGGTGATGAGGGGATTCTCCTGTATGCTGTGATTACCATTAATGAATAAAGAAAGCTGGCTTGAGCCTAGAGCAGAGCAGAGCTAGGCAGGGAAAACTAAACAATGCTGGGAGAAAGAAGGTGGAGGTAAGCCACAGCTACATGGCGATACACAGATTAATGGAGATGGGTTAGTTTAGGATATGAGTTAGCCAGAAATACACTTAAGCTATTCGCCAAATAGTATTGCAAATAATATAGTTTCTGTGTGATTATTTCAGGGCTCAGCAGTCGGGAACAAGCAGCCTCCTACAATACAAGGGGAACTGTGGAATGACGCCAGTACACAGTCATCTAGATATTTTAGTTGGTTTTCATTAAATCATCGTATGATATTACTGACAGTATTTATAATCTGTTGACAATGTTTACAAAGGACATCAACACAAATACTAAAACTCAAGTAACTCAAAGCAACTGTAGCATCAAAGAAAAGTATATTCTTAAATAAAAGATATTTCCATTATATTTCAAGTGGATATAAAAATAAATTTTACCTATTAAGGAAATAACTGTATTTTGGTCTCATCCAATAAAATGCAATTTTATCATTTCACTTTGAAACAAAATTTTTGAGGTAAAAACACAATTCTTTATGCACATATAAACATATGAGTAAATATAAGGCCATATTATTGGTATTAAAGCAAACTTAAAAGCTAGACAGTTTATGAAGCTCTATAACCCACAGAAATAAAACTGTGCCACAGAAGGAATATCATGCTCCAGGAACTGCACCAGTAATGACTCTTTACTGGCTACTGTAGAGTTGGTGACAAACTGTAGCAACATTTTCAGTTGCCTACTCAATAGCCATTTTCTTAGTTTATTTCTTGCTAAAATTAGTCTTAGTTTCTTCAATATTTAATAGTTTGGGGGAGAGAAGTTTATCTTTTCTAATGTTTCATTTTGAAAACAACCTCAGATTTACAAATAATTTATAAATATAGAAAATCACAACCAATTGTCAAAATAAAATTAACACTAGTAAAAACAATGGTAAGTGGTAAATAATTAACAAACCCCATTTAAATTTTACCAAATGTTCCTTTAACATAATTTCTCTGGTCCAGGACCCTACAGTTTATTTCTCACATCTCTTCCAATCTGGAAGTCTCTGTCGTGCCGACATCATTGCAAAGTACTATCTGTTATTCTGTTGACTATGCTTCCGCAGCATAAAACTGTTTTGCTAAGAATATGAGAATATTGCACCCTTTTTACTGCACCATATCAAGAGACCCTTAAGATAAATACATCTCATTATTATTGATGTTAACTCTGATCATTTGATTTGTTAAGTCTGCTGGGTTTCTCAGTTGTAATGAATCCCCGCCTTTGAATTTGGTATCTTGTAGGAAGACACTTTGAAGAATTTATGAAATTTGCAAATACAGTTTCTATTTTAAACTCACATATTCTGTTTTATAGGTGAGTGTTTTGCCTACATAAATGTTATGTGTACCATGTGTGTCTGATCCCCAGAAAAGTCAGAAGAGGCTGTCAGATCCCTTGGAACTGGAATTACAGGCTATTGTGGACAGTGATGCTGGGACTTGAGTCCTATGGAAGAGCAGTGAGTGCTCTTAATCATTAAGCCATATATCTACCTACAAATACTGTTTCTTATCATATTTTTTAAGGCTCAATTGGTGGTTATTGCCTTTTACAATTAGTGCTGTAATGCTTCCCAAATAATGACTTTTATGTCTACTATTCTTTCTACATTTACTAATTGAAATTCCACTAATAAAGAGTTATTCCTTTGGGCTGGAGAGATGGCCCAGTGGTTGAGAGCACTGGCTGGTCTTCCAGAGGACCTGAGTTCAGGTCCCAGCACCCATATAGCAGCTCAACAGGATGATCTAGCATCCTTACACAGACATACATGTAAGCAAAAAACCAGTGTATACAAAATAAATCAATTAAAGAAAGACTTGGAATCAAAACCAAACTTAAAAGAAAAGTTACCCTTTATTTTAAGAGAAATATAATTTGTGGTGGTTTGAATGTAACTGGTCTCCATATGCTCATAGCGAGTGGCACTATTAGGAGGTACGGCCTTACTGGAGTAGGTGTGGTATTGTTGGAGGAAGTGTGTCTCAGTTCACTTCCTGCTTTCTGAGGGTTACTATGTAGAATTCTCAGCACCTTCTCCAGCCCATCTCTGTCTGTATGTTGCCATATTCCACCATGATGATGATGGATTAAACCTATGAAACGGTAAGCTATGCTTTCCTTTATAAGACTTGCCATGGTCATGGTGTCTCTTCCTAGCAACAGAAACTGTAACTAAGACAAATTTTTCATTATTTATTTGTACAAGTTGTCTTAGATTTACTCTTGTGAGTTTTTTCACTTTGCCTCTTTAATTTTTTTGTGACAAGGTTTGATGTAGCCCAGGCTGTCCTCACACTTACTATGAGGTCAAGATTAACAACTACCTCCATCTCCAAGTGCTGATATTATAAATAAGTATCACCATGCCTGGTTTTCATTTGTTACTAGGAATCAATCAACCTCAGGGCTCTGCCCATGGTATATAGTCTACCATGTGAGTTGCATGACCATTCTTTTATTATCTTTTAATGCACTACAGTTTTCACTATGTCCTTCTTTTCTGGTATATATGTATGTATTTATATATATATATGTGTGTTTATATACACATATGTGTGTGTACACATACACACAAAACACACACACATATACAAGAGTGAATCATTTGCCAGTATGTTTGCATGTGCACCAATATAATATCTGGTATCTGTGGAAGTCAGAAGAGGACAAAGATCTCCTGCATATGGAGTTAAGGCTATATACCACCACGCTTGTTAGGAATTGAATCCTGGGTCCTCTACAAGAACAAGTACTCTTGTTGCAGGAATCTATTCAGCTAATGAGCTTTTGGGGGACCAGCCCTGTGGCCCTTTGGGTAGGTGCTAAGTGTCCACTGATAAGCTGTAGTAGGTCATTGTCCTCATGCCGCACATCTGCTTAAAGACTGTTTATGTTCTTACATGAAGCCCTAGTCTTTCAGATACACAGGTTATTTAAAAATTATAGATTAACAGTCACTTATGTTTGTCATACTTTTAGTTATGTTAATCAGGTTCTCTAGATGCACAGAGAAGTACTCTGCACAGATTTACGGTATTTAAATAACTCAGGATTCTGTTGATATGAGACACAATTGCTCCTGGCAGCACAGATCTATTCCAGAGAGAACGTTGGACACCAAAGACACTCCACTTGGAGCTTGTTTTCTTCTTGGCAAAACTAGCCTTTGAACAAAGAACCGCCCTTGCAGTATGCACACTGTCCAAACTGGACAAGCAGGATACAAGCAAAAATAACTGCTGAACCTTGCCAAGACAGGGTAGGACAGTCTTTTAAAATCTCCTGATTCTGAAAATGGTCCATCAGATACTCCAGGCCTTAGCCAAAGTTGGTTGCCCTAATGTTAAAAATGAGACTGTTTGTCACTTATGGTACCTCCTGAAAGTTGCTTGCTTGAACTTCCTGCTTACTCAGGTAATATTTTTCTTCTCAGGTTTTTGATGGGGTTGAAGCCTAGACAGTCACAGCTACTTTCCTCTCAAAATTTAACTAAGACATTTTAGGTAAAAGACTCCTTAGGATAGGATAACTATGAAATAATCTGCTATTTGCTAATTTCCTTAGACTGGACATCTAGCATGTGTTTCTTGCTTGATGTTCTTCATGTTGGTTGTAGTTCTGTTCTTGTACATGGTTTTTGCCTTTTATTTCTCCTGGGTAATACTTGATTACTTATTCTTATTGTATATAGTTTTGTAGTATGTTTAGAACCCTCTTAGACAAAAGAGGAAATTATTGTAGGAATCCATTCAGCCAATTAGCTTTTAAGGAAATGGCCTTTCGAATGTGGCCTGGGGTGCTATGTGTCCACTGATAAGCTGCAAGAGAAGCTGTTCATTCTCTTGCTCTGGCTCTTGCTTAGTGTGAGGGGAGACCCAGGATGGTGGAGAGATAATGAGGGATCAGCAAGCCGTCTGCCTTTTTTCTGTATTTGTGAGTTCATCCCTTCCCAATACAAACCCTTAATAAATCAGTTTTATTTACCTCAGTGTGATTACACAATACTTAATCACTAAGGCTTAGTGACTAAGCCATCTCTCCAGTCCCATGTTTAAAGTTTTTGTATTTTTCCCATATCTGAATCTATCTCTGCTATCAAATATTATTTTCTAGGGGTGAAGGAAAAGTTATTTTTTAATAAATATAAATGGTGAGCAATAGTCTGGAAATATTAGAAACAGGAGATAAGGAATAGGTATAGTCCACCAAGATACAAACTCAGATCGCTGGATTCAGAGTCCAGAGCATTAACCATTACACCATGGGAGCTGATGCATATAGGTATATAATGTAAAGCCCTTGTCATAATGACATTGTTTTTTGTGATATTTATTGACATTCTATTCTGCTAATTACTTCAAATTCTCAAACGTGCAAACTCTAAATAGCCATGGTACAACTTGAAAATCACGTATGATGAAGTTTAATATTCAAAGTAATTCAGGGGGGCTTCTGGTTATTCTAAACTTCTTAGAAGTATACCCATTTCACTAGCATTCATTCATTGTATTAAGTATTCATTCACATTCATACACATGCTCTGTCTTTAGAAATAAAATCTCATGTAGTTCACATGTACTTCTAACTCCCGCTCTTCCTGCCTCTACCTCCCAAGTACTAAGACTCTAGGTGCAGCTTCAGGCTCAGGACCACTATTGTTTTTAAGACAAGTTCTCATGTAGCTCAGGCTATCTAAATGAGATTGGTCTAGAACTCCTGATTCTCCTACATCATCTCCCAAGTGCTGAGACTATAGAAACACTCCTCTCTGGTTAAGACTAGATTTTTATGTAGTTTAGGCTGGCCTCAAACTTACTATGTAGCAGAAGCTATTTTTGAATTTATAATCTGCCTCCCTCTACTCTCAAGTGCTAAGATTATAGATGTCTGTTACTATATCTGGCTTCCATTTTTTACAAGTTTAGAAATCTCAATTATTCTTCTCCCCTCCTTGTAATACTTTGAATTCTAGGAATTAATATGCCAGAGAAAAGAATGACAAACAATTCTCATTTCACTAACTATTCTATGAAAAGATGATTTTGTATTATAATATAGTAAAATATACATATGCATATTTACTAAGCCTGTACTTAGTAACAAGTTCTTTTATTTTAAACATAAAAAAATAAAAATATAATCACAATTAATTAGCCCAAAGTTAATTCCTTTATAAGACATGAAGTTTTTCAAATAACAAAACTGACAATTAATATAAACTACTAATTAATAAATAAGACATAGGCATTATATACTGATACTTACAAAATTCGTTCCTTTTTCAGTTTGGTTACTTTTATTTGTAAACCTGCAAGGTAACAAAGAAAAAAAAAACATAGTATTTTGTTACACATTGCACCAATTCTAAAGCAGTTATCTAAGTTCCTTTATGAGGCAAATGCTACACTATTAAGCCAATTTAAACCGGCTTCTGAATAATGATCCAGGACTCATTTGATGTACAGTGTATTCCCCTTACTTGTACCCTCGGGCTACAAAAATAAATCTGCAACATTATTGCTTTTAGTCTATTAAATGACAGCCAAGTAGATAAAAAGTGAGTTATTTCCTTTCTAATAGTGAGGGCAAACATATAATTAGCATTTCACTATAAATGCAGGTCTGTGCCCTGACACAGCATATGTATTTGCTAACAGAAATAGTGCTTAAGAAGGCTCAAATCTCTGGGGATTAAACTAGATTGTGGCAGGAAGTCCTGGATTACAAAGAAAATTACTTACAGAAGGTATTTAAAGAATGGCACTAGAATTTTTAACTCTAGACACACTCTTCAATTTTACTTAAGTCTGATATAAAACAAAACGGCAGGAGAAAATATTAATAAATACGGTATTTCTAATTTTCATGGCAGTAACCAATAAAAGAAAATCACCAAATAAGCATAAAACATTGTCTACAATACTACTAGCAACTTAATATAAATGCAAAACAAAATAATTAATTACTAATTATAATAATGATAGTGTTGAGCATTGATAAAGGGTTGTAAAACTATACCCCAGACTTTTCTGGAGATACTGGAGACCAGTACAGTCTCTGGAAAACAATTTAGCAGTATGTCCAAAGTTATTCACATCAGTACCTGAATTCTTGGGTTCTAATCTATATAGAAACTCATAATAACAAAAGTATTCAATGTAAAAATATTTAGAAATGTCTTTACAAAATATATATAAAGTACCACTTGCTGGAATAATAGCCTGTTTAACAAACTACACTATCTCAGTTATAATAGACCGATGTGGGAGTCCCCTCTGTGTGTTGCTTTTCTTGGTTAATGAATAAAGAAACTGCCTTGACCTGTTGATAGGGCAGAACTTAGGTAGGCGGGGAAGACAGAACTGAATGCTGGGAGAAGAAAAGAGTCAGAGAGACACCATGGATCCTCCACCTGAGATAGAGCTAGAGCTAATGGGCCAAGCAGTGATTTAATTAATACAGTTTCTAAACAGACTAGGTTCCCACAAAGCCAGTACAGGCAGTAGAATCAAAACCCAGTGCCTTTGTCCTTGGCTTCTCAGTCAGCCCTCCTTGTCAGCCACATTCAGAGAGTCCGGTTTGATCACATGCTCCATCAGTCCCAGTCCAGCTGGCCTGACTGCTCTTTGGACTAGAGAGGGAGGGGGAGGGGGGAGGGGGAGGGAAATGGGAGGAGGTGAAAATTTGTAATAAGAAGACGAAGAAGAAAAATAGGAGAAAACCGCTCTCAAAAAAAAAATTAATACAGTTTCTGTGTGGTTATTTTGGGGCTAAGCTAGCTGAGTGGCCAGGACAAACAAGCGGCCTGGCTCTCCTTGCAACAATAGACAACCTTTACAATCCTCAAAGGCTCTTCAAACACACACTAAACTGGGCCCTGTGGTGTGTAACTGTAATATTGGCACTTAGGCTGGAGCAGCATGATCACAAGCTATATCTGTCTTTAAAAAAAAAAAAAAAGTCAAATTAGCTGAATTTTTCTACTTTAATATAGCCTTTCTCTTTATCCTCTACAAATTTGATTAACGTAAGAGAGTAAAAGGACTATTTACTTTGATTTCTAATTAAGTTCTTATTATTCTGTAATTTCTTCAGTTAGAAATATTATACTTAAAAATAAATTGCCTAGAAATTGTTAATATTCTCTAAGAATTTCATTTCCTTTCTCTTTTTAAAGGTTGGGTCTCCCAGACTGGAGAAATGGCTCAGGCGGTTAAGAAATCGACTGCTCTTCAGAACTAGGGTTTGATTCCCAGTACCCACATGGTGGCTTACAACCACTGCAACTCCAGTTCCAGGGAATATGAAGCTGTCTTCTGACCACATGGACATCAGGTATGCATATGATACACATGCAGGCAAAACACTAATACATGTAAAATATATCTTGGAAAAAATTAAAATCTTGGGGGCTGGAGGGGTTGCTCTTCCAGAGAATGAAGGTTCCAATCCCAGCACCACTCGGCTGTTCCTAACCACCTATAATGCCAGTCTTAAGGGAGGTGACATGCTCTTCTAGCTTTGAAGGGTAGCAGCACAGACATACATAAAGGCAAAACAATCATATACATAAAAATAAAATATACTTAAAAATTTAAAACAAATCAGCATCTGATTATTATATATATCAGTATAATATATATATATCAATATGACATACTGATATATTACTCAGGCTGGCCTCAAACTCACTATGTAGCCCAGGCTGGGTCTCAAACTCACAATCCTCCTGTCTCAGCCTGCTAAACGCTGAGAATTTAGGTGTTCAGCTAAGATTATCTTGTATGGGACAGAATTAGTCCTGAAGAAATAGTTATTAGTTGAATGATTTCTGAATAATAAGAGATTATTTATTTACTAGCTGCCTTTTATAGTTCATGGACAATAGTAAATTACACTCTTACACCAATATGATGTGTCTAGAAACACTAATGCACTTAATTCTAAGAACAATTACTTCGAAGTATCTGTAATTACTACAATCTTGGATAACATAACTTAGGGAGAAATTTTTTTAAAATGTTCCTGTTAATCCTTGTCAAGACAGACACCGATGGGGAAGTCTGTCTTACTCTCCTTATTGCCTCTAGTGGTGCCAGGAAACCCAAATAAGCAAATGAAGGCTCTGAAGAATTTGGGGGCTAGAATTACAGTTTTGCTCTCTCTTAAGTTTGGCCTCTAGGAAGTGTTTAATGAATATGACACAGTTTACCCTTGGTTCTACAACCTATCGTTCAACTAAATAAAATATTATTAATAAGGAAGCGTAAAAAGTCATAGACATTACAGTACCTTTAGTAGGGCAGCTATACATTAGAAACAATCAAATGTTCTTCAACTTAAGTAACATCTAACATTAAAACCTACTTCAGAGACAGACAGAGAATGGCAAGTTTGAGGCCACCTTGTGCTACACACCAAGACTCTCTCTGAAGCAATTAACTATTGACACCTGAACAATTTGGACATATCTCAAAGGGGATTGTGCTGAGTAAAACTTATCAATTTCAAAAGGTTATTTTTTATGACTCCACTTATGCAACATTCTTGAAATGAAAAAATTAGAGATGAAAATGAGAATATTAATGGAATAACTGGAGAGGAAGGATAGAAGGAAGGAGGTAAGTGGCATAGTGGTACACATAATCTATACATCACTAAAATGTACAGAACTAAATACACAAGTCTAGGTTTCACACATACACAAGTGTACATACAGAATTTGTGTGATCTGAATAAGGCTAGTAAATTATACCAATAAAAATTTCTTTGTTGTGATAATATATAATATACATAAAGTGTAATCAGTATGGTGGCTCACATCAATTATCCCAGCATTAGAAGGTTGAGGTTAGAGGACTTCATGAGTCTAAGGCCAACCTGGGTTACAGAGTGACTTTCAAAGGAAGCAAATAAAACTATACAATATACTACCAGTGGGAAAACCGAGGTAAAGGGTACGCGGGATCTCTGCAGTCTTTCTTAAAAATTACATGTGACTTAAAATAGTAAGAAAAAAACGATTTGATTTTAAAAAATTTGCAAAACAATAAGGGAAAGCTTATAACTGGTAAAAGTAAATTGGTGTGCTTTATTTGAAACAATAACAATCCTTCACAGCTGCTGAATTCCTAACCCTGAATTTCCTTCTCTTTGGGTAATGACGACAAACTCCAGAGCCTTGGAAGCACTCAGCAAAGCATCACTCTTGCAGAATGAAGAACTTATGCCCCATAAAATAAAGACTGGAGTCAGCAGTTTTTGTCTCTTCTTCTCAAAATGTGGGGATTTTTATTTGCTGACAGATTTTCTTGTTTTTAATCTTGGCTGACTTCTAAAACTCAGGTCTGCTTTTGCAAGTGAAAAAGAGCCAAAGATGAAGTGGATGCTTGCCATAAAATAAAGATTCTTTATTTTTTAGACAAGAAACAATGAAGAGTAAAATCCATATAAACTTCAAAAGAAAATTCTTGGGAAATATGGAAAGACCTCTCTTTTATCTTACAAGCATTCAACACCTGTGCGGCATTTGTTCTGTCATGTGGATCAGCCCTGAAACACGTTCATGTGTACGTGTTTTTAAATTTTAGCATTTGCTATTCATCAAGTCAATTAGGTATCTACAATTAGAACCCCTATAAAGTGAGCTTTAATCCTGCTCCACACCCATCGGAAGGAATGAGGCTATACAACAATGCAGCTCCTGTATGAACAGGTAGTCTGTTCAACAAAGTATTTGGAATCCTAACACTAGCAACCTGAGAACCTACTGAGGAAACAGTGCTCAAAAGACTAAGTACTATAGGACATCAATTAATCATATACCTATTCATTCTATGAATTTTGAAGGAAACCAAACAATCAAGGGCAAATATATGTTGTTATATTACACTAAACAAGTTTAAGAGGTCATAAGTGAGACAAGAGTTCAATTTGTAATGTATAAGCAAAAATCAATGCTACTAATTCCTGTTTTAGTTTTTTATCCAGATAAAAATCACATGTAATGACTACTGTCACTTCAGTTATTTGCTATTTAAATAGAAATGATTAAACTAGTACCACTTTTTAAATAAGTAACAGCTTAATAGATCAAATAATTTGATTTTACCCCCAAAATCCTATTTCTCTAACTATATAATCAATTATTTCTATTCTAAAATAAAAACATAATTTTTTGTTTTCTCAAGACAGGGTTTCTCTATATAGCCTTGGAGCCTGTCCTAGAATTTGCTCTGCAGACCAGGCTGGCCTCAAATTCACAAAGACCCACTTGTCTCTGCCTCCCTAGTGCTGGGATTAAAGGTGTGTGCCACTACTGCCTGGCTTTGAAAACTTATATTTATGAAAGCAGCTGTACTTAATGTATATGTACTTTAATATTTAATTATCTCAAACTAATTACTGTGAATTTCACTGACTTTATAGCAGCTATGAATGCAAGTAATAAAATAATATGTGAGAGCTGCTTAGAGAGAGCTCTTAATGAAAAGGTCCTGGTTCTATGAACCAAAACTGTTGATTCTGTAGTCATAATGCAATTTTTTGAGGAAACATTTTCGAGTAAGCAGAACAATGAACAACCAAACTCAGACTCAAGGTGCAGCTGTGCTGTCATGGTAGAGCTCCAACCTGTTCCATTTCTTTAATCCGTTGCAATTATGTCCCCTAAACCGCCCAGTTTTCTATGAAAATGACTTATGAGACACAGAAATTATATTAACTGGGATGTGATAGCAGAAGCTAGTGTGGACAGAGAACACTATAAAATGATATGAAAAGCAAATATTCTAAATTCTACTTTATTACCTGTGCTTTTAATAAACCTGATACTGAGATTAAAAAAACCCTACTCAAATATACTCTTAGGACTTTTAAAATTTAAAGGATTCTGAAACTTTTATTAAAATATGAAAATTCTATTAGAACCTGTTATTCTGAATTCAAAGCATAGAGTTGTCTATTCTCAGTAACAACTTAGACCCTAGAATGAACAATGAAGGATACAATTATGTTAAAAAGAGTAAAAATTTAGTGACAAGTATCACTAGGATAACCCCTGTAAAGAATGCAGCTTGCAAATTGCTGATTTTCAGCATAAGAGACCACTTATTCTTTCTTAATTTTAAAAGAAATGCATGTAGCTTATTATATCATGATCAGTGAACAGAGTTTTGTATATGGCATATCATCGATATTGTTTTATTATGTTTTGGTCAAACGAATCAAACAAGAAATCCCGAATGCTATATACAGCAGGGTACACAGATGCATGCAATTTCTTATGGGTATATTTCCTTTGCTGTCTATGTAAAAATTGTGCATCTCAAATACTGTTTACTTTTCCTATTATTTCTCCTTTGTCTTTTACTGCATGAAGCTTTAAAATGTAGTGAGTCAATTTTGATTCCTACATATACTTCAAAACCTGCAATGTCCAGACATGTCTGTATTTGATGTCTTGCAAACAGCTTCTTGTATTGGTTTTTCTAAATAGATCCCCCGCCTTTTTTTTTTTAAGTAAGCATCCCCTAGGTAGATCTTTGATGTTATTACCTAGTCCAATTTTATATGGAACTATACCACATTGACAAATGAGTAATAATAAAAAAGTCCTCTTTTGTTTGGGAAATATCTAGTAACCCAAACTAAATTTTTAAATAACATCAATTTTCTACAAATAGTGTTTACCATGCTAAGCATGGTGGCACATGCCTGTGATCCCAAGTCTAGGAGGCTGAGGCCTGCCTGGGTTACATAGCACTTTCTAGACCAGCTGGGCTAGTTTCAAATAGAAACTCTGTCCTATATGAACAAAAACCACACCTCCAAGAATCCATAAGCAGGAAACAAGCCTGCTTCTTATCCCCTATCCTCCTAATGTTTTTGTAGCACACACATTCCTGGGACTACAAGGCCTATTAAAGAACAGCAACAAGGACTGCAAATATAAAAGAATGATCTACTATAAAACAAAGGTCAGCTATCTACTGTGTAGTATTTGTCAGATTTAATAACAATTATGCGCTTTGCTCAATGAATATATCATTTATTTTCTTAATGCTGCTTCATAAAATAGAGGTCTCCTGAAGACCCTGTTTATGGAAGAACAAAAAGTAGAAACCTGTCAAAATATATTTCCCTATTTTACTAAGACAGAAAATAAAACTTTAAATGGTATGTTAGTCAGTTTTCTAGCACTAGAACAAGATACTTGGCTAGGCAGTGGTGGCGCAGGCCTTTAATAAATCACAGCACTCAGGAGGCAGAGGCGGGCGGATCTGAGTTAGAGGCCAGCCTGATCCACAGAGTGTCAGGACAGCCAAGGTGACACAGAGAAACCTTGTCTCAAAACAAACAAACAAACTTCAAATTAGAAAGAGCAAAGATTAGACTGGCAAGATGGACCAACAAGTAAGTGCTTGCTGTCAAGTTTCATGGCCTGAGTTCAATCCCTTGAACTCATACAGTGGAAGGAGAAAACATCTCCCAAACATGTCCTCTGACCTCAACTCATCTGTCTCCACAACAGGGATAGGAAAAAGGCTAACTACTGCAGGGCGTGACTGTAACACCTTTAATACTAGCACTTGAGGAAGTGGGGGCAGGAGGAGCAGGAATTCAAAGTCACCCCAACCATACAACAAGGTCAAGATCGACTCGAGCTTAGGAACTCCTGCTCTAACTGCCCAGCCCCCCACAAACCAACAACCTCAGAAAATAACAAGGTACATAAATAAACCACACACAAAGAAACAAACTAAACCTAAACAGCCCTTGGGAGAGAGAGCAGGAGGATCTGTTCCTGTCTACGATACTTCATCATATACTATCTCAAAATTTTATAAAGGAAAAATTCTACTTGATACAACATGGAAATAAAATGCTTAGGCAACAAAGGACTCACACACTAAAAATCATAAAATCTTCCTGGAAAAAAAAAAACATTCTAGAAGGCACTAATACATGCCAAAATGTTTCACGTTCATGGTCAGCCGAGGTTACACAGGGTATGTGGGCCAGGGCTAGATCCTATAAAAGAAAAGAATAGGGCTTGGCATTGGTGGTGCACGCCTTTAATTCCAGCACTTAGGAAGCAATGGCAGGCAGATCTCTGAGTTCAAGGCCAGTGTGGTCTACAAAGCGAGTTCCAGCCAAATTCAAGGCTAATATTGTCTACACAGAGAAACCCAGTCTTGAACCATTTCCCCAGAAGAGCTATCCTAAAAATAAAGTTGGTGAGACTCTCTCAGCATGAACATACTGCTAACCTGAACATATCTGCTTTCTACCTACATGCTGAACAGACCCCCATCACATTACCACTTAGAAATAAACCAGCTGTCTATAATTCTATGGGGAGGGAGGGGGAAATCAAGGTCTCATTTTCAATTTTTCTAAAGTCTTCTCAGGAAACTCTGTCTTTCTCATCCTCCCATCACCTTTTTTACCTGGATGTACCCAACTGTAAAGCCTGATCTGAAAGAAAATCATAAGCACATACTGGCTTTTCACTTATCTTCCAAATACAACACACTACATTAAAATTCTATCACACAGGGGGCTGGAGAGATGGCTCAGAGGTTAAGAGCACTGGCTGCTCTTCCAGAGGTCCTGAGTTCAATTCCCAGCAACCACATGGTGGCTCACAACCATCTGTAATGAGATCTGGCACCCTCCACTGGTGTGTGGGCATAATCGAGGCAGAATGTTGTATACATAATAAATAAGTAAATCTTTTAAAAAAAAATTCTATCACACAGCAAATACTCAAAATACATTCTGAGATGAATATCTATGTACACTGGGACTTACAGGTTCCTTTAATAGTTCAGAATCTTCTGAGGCTGTTATCATAAGGTTAAATTACACTCAGAACTGATTGGGGCTCACACTTCAGCGTCACTGCAGTGCGATGTTAAAGGTGTGGGACACTGGGATACAGAGTTCATGGCTGCAGGGGACAATCAGGAAAGACTCACAGGAGTGGGAGAGCACTCACTCGGCATTCGTGAGGCCATGGCTTCTCTTCTCAGCATCCCCACAAAAAAACACCTAATCTGTAATAGGGAACCTTTCTCACAAATAAAGAAACTCTATCATTAAAGATTTGAGAAAAACCTTAAACTTCCGATCCTCTTGCCTCTCCCTCTGAAGGGCTTGGATTATAGGTGTGTGCCATAGCATCTGGTTTGTGTGGTACTGAGAGATCTACCTGAGTATACAAGCCAGGCAAGCACTCCACCAACAGAGCTGCATCCCTCGGCCCCAAGGTATCTTCAATACAGATATTTATATGCTCATCCTAACTACATCTACTTAATCTTCTGTACATTCCTGCGCTCCATGAGTCTCCTGAGCTCTTACTTCACTACACTGTACATGACTGCTTCCATGACCATCTGGCAGCCTACAGCAGCTGCGAAAGGAGGCTGCCATTCACGTTTGTAGGAGAGTTCAGTAGCAAACAGCTCCTGAAAGGTTTGTCATTTAATTAAATGCCACTTTTACGTCTAGAGATAATCTTGCAAATAATAGTAGAAAAAAGGTAAAAGATTATACAACAGTTACGGTCTCAATGAAATCAGAATTCAAATCTGTCTTCAGTTAATAAATTCTACTGTTTTTTTATTTAGCATATTTCCACAAGTAACAAATGACAAGTCTATAAAAACTATGGTCAAGTCATAAAGCATTACAACAGTAAATGCCCTTTAAAGATGGAACATTTGCTCCTAAATAAAGTTATTTCTATGTAAAATATATAAAATGATCAAAGCTAGTTTCTATTACTATAGCCTCAAGCACTTGAGGAAAGACTTTACCTTGTACTTCCTTATCATGAGATTCTTTCAGTTTTGTCCAGAGCTCCTTGAAGTCACTGGACACATCTGCAGAGTTAGGGCTTCCACAGTTGCTTCCTGAAATGCTCATCTTCTTCCCAGGCTTCACACTTCTGCCTGTGTATGTTTCCCCCGACCTTTCTCGTTACCTTACATAGGTGTGAGGTTGTCTCTGAAGTGTTCAAATGCCTGAAATGACAAATTACAATGTGTCATCTTTTGCACATCTGCTTACGTAATTTGAAATTAGGATGAAAGTCGAAGTCCAGCTATTTTTAAGTTTTCTTTATCTATTTACAAGCAATCATTTGGAGAATTTGAGAAGAGAGAGAAAAGAAGATAATGGTGAGAGCAGGGTGTGGTTGAGAGGCAACGGCAGGCGGAGATCTGAGTTCAAAGCCAGCCTGGTCTATGCAGTGCTAGGGCTAGGGCTACATAGTGTTACATAGTGTGAGACCCTGTGCCGTTGAGAGAGAGAGAGGGAGGAGGGGGAGGGGGAGGGGGAGGGGGAGGAGGAGGAGGAGGAGGAGGAGGAGGAGGAGGAGGAGGAGGATAGCAATGAGAAAACTATGGTTTCACTTGTTGGCTTTCACACAGGATAAATCTCGGCTGGCTTCCAGTTTTCCATCTAAGAAGGAATAATTACTCGTATTATGTTGAAGTTAAAGGGCTCTAATAATATTGAAATGTTTACAATCGTTCACAGTCAGTACTCATTCATCCTTATAAAATGTACTGGCCAGCTGTGCTGGCTTATGCTTACAATTGGAATACTCTGGAGGTGGGGGGAGGATCCCAAATTCAAGGTCAGCCTGGGCTATACAACCTTTAAAAGAAGAAGGGGGCCTGCAAGATGAATCAGCAGGTAAAACACCACCAGGCCTGGAAGATGAAAGAAAGAACTGACTCCAACAAGGTGGCTTCTGACCTCCACTGTCCTGTGGCATGGACACATATGTCCACCACATAGTAAATAAATAAATGCAGTAATGATAAATATGCAAGTAATGAGAATGTAGGTAAGAAGTGCTTGCTGAGCACAGAGAAGGCCCTGGGTTCAATCCCTAGCACTGAAAAAAAATTACTGCTTTAACTTTTGGAGAGATGTGCAGTGCAACACTTATAGTTATAATGAACCAGGTAAGAAAACACCCCGAAATATTCCTGATTTTATAATCGCTTACATACACGCATGTTATAACACCAGGAAGACGGCTGACATATTAAGGCATGGGAGGATCTATGTGTATTTCTAGGAATAAGTCAATATGATACACATACAGCAAAGCTCTAAGAATGCTCTTTCTATTTAGAGTACAAAACTATTAGGGTAATGGTACTTTGTGACTCTTACATAGTGCCAACCAATGATTAACTTTACAACTGATGCAGTCCCTAAAAAGAATTAACAGACTATTCAGGAACTCAAGTGGTTTAATAAATATTTTAAACTGTGCTCTTACCTGAAACCATTAATTAGCTATCATTACAAAAGTAACCTATTGGGCATGGTGACTCACGCCTGAATCTCAGCACTGGGAAGGCTGAGGGGAGAAGTCTGCTCCAAGTTCCAGGCTGTCCTTCTCAAGAAAAATAATGGAAGCAAGCAGAGGAGATAGGAGGAAGGGAGCACAACACAGAAGGCCCTGGAGATGTAGCTCAGTGGGTAAGTGTGCATCTGGCACTCACAAGGCTCTGGGCTCCGTTCTCGGCACTAGACAGAGGCAGGAAGAGCTGTAATTCAAGGCCATCTGCTCTTGTTTGAGGCCAGCCTGGGACGCATAGTCTCCGTACAAAAACAACTCCCAGATAGAGAACCGGCTGTGTTTAAAGAGCACTGGCTGCTTTTTCAGAGAACCCAAGTTCAAGTCCTAGCACCCAACAACAGCTCACAACCTTTCGCAACACCAGTCCCAGGGAATCTGACACCCTCTCTTCCAGTCTCCAGGGACACTAGGCATGCATGACACCCATGCACATAAAATAAGTCTCAGAAACAAAAACTAAAACAACTTTCAGAGGAGCAATAATGCATTCAACCTGATCAACACTGCATAAGGACGTTTGAAGAAACCCATTACTTTGGCTGGATGTGGTGGTCACACCTTTAATCCCAGCACTAAGAGGTAGAGGCAGATTTCTGCATTCCAGGCCAACGTGGTCTACAAAGTTTCAAGACAGCCAGGGCTACCCAGAGAAAATCTGTCTTGAAAAACAAAAACAAACAAACAAAAAACTCCATTACTTTGTATTCTAACCTAAAATTAAAAAAGAAATAAGATTCTATGAGTTCAAGGCTAGCCTGGTTTACACATCAAGTTCCAGGACAGGCAGGGCTACCCAGAGAAACCCTGTCTGGAAAAACCACCACAACAAAACAAAAACCATGTTCGCAAGCGCTCGGTCACCCGCACAGCACTACAGACATAACACACGTTTACTAAGAATTACGAAGTTGCAGTAGCTTTCTAAAGAGTCAGAATAAATGAACGTATATAGATTTCAAATAATCTTATTAATTTGGGGGAGCACTAAGTTATTGTTAAATCGCATGAATGCAATAATGATACAGTCACTTAAACTTTTTAGAAATTTTTATTTCTTATAGTACTAGGAACAGAATCCAGAGCTTCATGCATGCTAGGTGAGGATTCTACCACTGAGATTTATTTTCAGCTCCATTTTCCTTTTTCCACTAAGGTTTTGTCTGTTACAGGAATAGTATGGAATAAACTAATGTTCTCCGGAATTGGTTTGAAAATGGGTGTGCGTGGAGAGATGAAACAAGAACACATTAGTCTGGCAATTATTGAAGCTGAATGATAATAATGCTAATGTCTCTCTCGTGAATATTCACTCATATTAATTTTTAAAAGTGAGATGAGGAGTGTTAAAACAATTTTGCTTCACGAGCCTGTGTTTAGCTTAGCCATAAGATACATTATGGCCAATAAGAGACTACACTTAGTTATGTATAGTAGCATATGGGTTATACTTTTAATAATAATTCTAGTGAGTGAATTATCAGAACTCTACAAAGAGGTACAACTATTAACTCCAGTACAGACAGGGTGGGTTATTTCAGGGTTAGGATTTGAGCCCCAAACTATACTTCTCTGTAGTGAGAAATAAAAGTATGGCAGGCGGTGGTAGCACACACCTTTAATCCCAGCACTTGGGAGGCAGAGGCAGGCAGATCTCTGAGTTCGAGGCCAGCCTGGTCTACAAAAACAAGTTCCAGGGCAGCCAGGGCTACTCAAGCAAACCCTGTCGAAACGAAGGAAGGAAGGAGGGAAGAAAGGAAGGAAGGAGGAAAGAAAAAATAAAGTTTAAAGGTTTAATAACTTTAATGGGAAGCTTAAAAGTGAGTTAACAGTTTAAACTAAGTATCTTTTAGGAAATGCTTCAATGACGAGGTAGTTAAAATAACGCAGTGCTTTTGTTGTTTTGAAACAGGGTCTATTTAGCTCAGGCTGACCTAGAAGGCCCAGGCAGACCACGCTGGCTTCGAACTCACATGGAGACCTGTTCGCATCTGCGTGCGCTGCCACCACGGCTGCTCAGCTACATAAAACACCATTAATACCAAGTTTGCAAATTTCGGTTCACGACTTCCTTCCCGTCTACCCGCTCGTCCAGCACTTTGGAGCCCATCTTCTGGCTCTGAACCGTTATTCGCTGTGCACCGCGCCCTCCACACTCCGGTCTGCGCCCTTGTCCCCTCCACACTCCGGTCTCGCGCTCTCTGCGGGCACAAAGGCTAGGCGTGTCCTCGGCATCGCGAGCCTGCACACCGAAGATGCTCGGCAAGGCCAGGCGGTCACGCCACACAAGGGAAACGCACGGGCCGGTCGGCTCCCTTCTCACGAGCATAGCGCAGGCTCGCCAAGCCCTCTGCAACCCCGTCTCCAGCCGCCGCCCGGCAGACGCCCCTCAGCAGGTCACACCGAGGGCGCCCGAAAAGCGCGCGCTGCGCGGCGGCGCATGCGCGGGGCGGGCTCAGTGCCGAGGGGCGCGCCGTCGCGGGAGCCCGAGACTCAGCGTGGACCAGGAGCGCGGCGCGTCCTCCGGGCCGGCCCGGGCCCAGCCTCCCTCGCCGGGTGCCTCACGCTTCGCCACCGCCGCAGCCTCTCCTAGAGCGCGGCTCCCGGCCGGAAGTGGCCGCTCCGACTCCGCTCACCGGGTCTGGGGAAGGAGAGCCTGTACTCACCGCTCCGAGCCTCCCTGGAAGCCCTCGGGAGCGCAAGGCCGACAGCGGTGTCTTCCGGGCCGGGAAGGCCCCGCCGCTCGCTCCTGCCCTCCTTCCGCCGCGTTCCGTCCCTCGCCAGGCGGCCGGACCCACGGCGGGGACGGCCACAGCCTCCCGGAGGAAGGCCGGAGGGCGCCCGGCCCCGCCCGGCCCGAGCCCTGCGGCGTCACGTGACGTCAGCGGGAGTTCCCGCGGCCGGCGGGCGTCACGCCCCTCTCCCCCAGCTGCTGGGCGGCGGAGGAGGGGCTGCCGGTGCGGACCCGGATGGAGGATACTCCGAAGATGAGCCGCCCCGGGGGCCCGGACGCTTGGCGAGCCCCGGTTCGTGGAGTTCCCTGGTACATTGTCCAGCCGACCTGTTGTGAACTTGATTGCGAGCCCTGGGTCGGACGAAAGTTAGTTAGCCATGACCGTGTGAGCCCAGCACGGTTCAAGGCCGGCGTGCTGCACCACGCGGAGAGTTGAGGTGGACAGATGTTTCAGCCTTAATTGCCTACAGTTTAGTGATGGATCCGAGAGTACTGAATTTGAACACCACATTTCAAAACGGTTGCCGAAGTTAAATGATGAGTTTCTTTCAAGTGCCGAGTAAGAAATTAGAAGTCTAGAATCGTTAAAACTTTTTTGTGCTTTTGTTGTTGAAACGAGTGTTGAGTGCCCCATGCAAGCTTCAAACTCAGTATGCATGATCTTGAACTCTTGATTCTCCTGTTGCTGTCTTCTGAATGATGGTATATTATATAGGCATATGGCAGCCACCACACCAGGTCAGTTTATTTTACTTTTAGACTGTGCTGGGCATCCAACCCAGGGCTTTGTGCATGTTAGGTAAGCACTCTACCAACGGAGCCACATTCCTAGCTCTTCGCTAATTCTTTTAAAATCAGGATTTCCTGTGGGTTGTTTTAAGGTTCAAAGTATAGGGGGAGAGCCAATTCGGATACAAACAGCAGATTCTCCAGTGAAACAAATAGATGGAATTACAATATCTTTTTAAACCAACCCAACAGTTTTCTGTGATGCTTAGGTGTCCCAGGAGACCTAGGAATACTAAGTGCAGGACACGGTGACCAAGCCTGTCATCCCAGCACTGAGAAGGCAAAAACAGCGGTGAGACTGGGGAGTTTGAGGCAGTTTACCACTCGTCTCCAGTCTCAATGGCTCACACTCTTTGGAACTGGACACTCCAGAGTATTTTTGTCCTATTTTCCCACTGCCATGCAACCATCTTTAAGGCGCTCCCAGCATTCATTACTGTTACAGTACCTTCCCAGTTATAGTTTAAGATTTTATGTGCATGCATGTTTGCCTACATTTATGTATGTGTACCATGTGCATGTTTGGCACCTGCAGAGGCCAGAAGAGGGCTTTGGATGCCCTGGACCTGGAGTTGTGGGTGCTCCTGAGCCACCATGTAGAAACTGGGAACAGAACCCGGGCCTCTGCAGAAACTGCTGAGTCATCTTTCCAGCTCCCTGCTTCCTCATCTTGAAAGACTTAATCAAAGAATGAAAACTATTAGATTTTCTTCCAGCAAACACTCTACCATGAAGTTATGTACCCAGTCCTGTTATGCTATTGTTAGCACAACATATAGTCTCTAATTGTCAGAGTGAAACTTGTATAGTTTCTAATAGAAATAGGAAGTGTAGATGGTGTGCTCCATGATCGCAGCCTTTGGGGAGGCCAGGAGGCTGAACAGGACAATTGCTGTGAGCCCAATACCAGCCTATACTACATAGCCGGGCCTTTCCTTAACCAAAAACAAAACAAAACACCTCTCTATATGTAATCCATTTATATAAATCAGAATCCATGTAAACATCTTTAAACATCCTATGAAATCCATCACCAAACCCTGTCAGTCATACCTACGAAATCATCTAAATCCATTACTTTCATCACTGACCACACAATCTTCCCCAATCCTACTTTTATTTGTTTCTGAGACAGGTCATGTGCAATCTAGGCTGGCCCCGGATTTACTAGGTAAATAACGTTGGCCTTGAGCTCTGACTTGAAACTACCAGTTCACCAAACTCCAAAGGGCAGTCCATATATCCATAAATGAGCTCAGTCTGGCATATAGGAGGGTTTCTGTCAGGTAAAAAAGCCAGCATCCCTCAGGGACTTGTGAAGCTGGTTCCCCTCTGCCAAAAGGAGGCATTTCCTTACCTCTGGCCGAAGAGACCCGTGGCTACCTGTGGCACCTATTAGTATATCAAAGTTCATGCTGGCCTCCTCCAGGCTTGCTCAGTGTCAGTAACCTGGTATACATTTCCAAGTTCATGCTAGAATATTAGTCCTTATTACCCCTCCCCTTTCCTAAAGCCCCTCAAGCTACCCATTCTCTAAGCTGTTTTTTTCTTTTGTATGTTCACTGCTGTTCTCTTGCTGGCTGTGCTCAGTCTACTATTTGTCTCAGCTCTGGACCCCTGCAAATGCCTGTGGCTTTTCTCTCTCATCTACAATTTAAAAAAAAATCCTTTCCCTTGGCCGTTGCACGAAGCAGGCAAGTCAGTTTCCACACTACCTCCACCTACAAAGTAGTGGGATTGCAGGCATGCACTACCATGAGCTCTTACCTAAACTACTACCAATTGATTTTCTACTCCACCCACTCAGACACCTATCTAGACCTTTTTCTTCTCTGATATTTGGAAAAATGGAGCATCTTTTCCCATGGTGCATATATTTTGTTTATGTGCATTGTACTAAACATTTTTTTAAGATCCAGTCTAATTAGTAAGATGCAGAATTTGGGGACAGAACTGAGTTTGAACCCTGCTCTCACTATGACCTCTGTCACATTTTCCCTGCCTGTAAAATGAGGCTAGTTGTGCAGACTTCACAGGATATAAGGATTAATGAATATATGAAAACCAGTTAAGATAGTATTCAAATATATGCTCAATTTTAAAAAGCTAGCTATTATTAGTATTTCTGAGCTAAGAGACAAATATCGTAATATATTTAAAAGTAATTTGAAATAATTGAAGAATGGAATTAAAGGCCTAATCTCTGGAAACAAATATTTTAAATTTAAACTTTAGACTGGGCACTGTGGTACATGTCTTTAATCCCAGCACTCAGGAGGCCAAGACAGGTCTCTGAGTTTCAGGCCATTGGGGTCTACACAGTGAGTTAAGTTTAAATTTAAAAACCTAGTTTAAAAAGGGTAATTACCCCCCTCTCCTTTAAGCTGGTTACTTCCAGATCCCTTTTGCACAGCAGCTGTGAATTTAAATCTGATAATGTCACTTTGCAGTTTAAATGCCTTCAGGGACTTCCTGTTAACTCTTTCAAAAAAGCCCATTTGTACATTTGCATTTTCTGATCTCTACCCTGTAGCCCTCTGTTATAGGTTATAGGTGCTCCTAGACCCCACTGTGTCTCTTCCTGGATTCTCACTAAACTCCTTTCCTCTTAACCAGTCATCTTTTTACCACAGTAGACAGTTCCTATTCTAGCACCATGTTTCTCCATGGTGAAACATATATTTATAATTTTTTCATATTTAGGGTTTTTGTTTGTTTGTTTGTTTTTCACCTTTGAGGCTTGTAAGTTTCTTACTCTTTTTTTGGGGGGGTGTTTTGTTTTTCAAAACAGTCCTGGAATTCACTCCGTTGACCAGGCTGGCCTTGAACTCACAGAGATTTGACTGCCTCTGCCTCCCCAGTGCTGGGATTAATGGAGTGCACCACCACACTGGCTTTCTTGTTCATTTTTAATATCCCCACTACAGCCTAAGTAGGACTCTGACTGACAATGAATTGGGCATCCCTTGACAGATTTCCCATTTTTCTTGTATTTTGGATACACAGAAAAATTTTAGGTCAGTTGTGGTGGCACAGGCTTAAAATCCTAGCATTCAGGGAATGAAGGCAGGAGGGTCAAGAGTTCAAGAACAGTTAGCTACACCTGAACTCCCAAACCTTCCTAGGCTACTTGAGACCTTGTCTCAAAACAAAAACCAAGAACAAAACAAAACTTAGATTTTCTTTCCTTTTGTTTTTTATTTTTTTCCCCGTTTGTTTTTCAGACAGGGTTTACTGTAGCCCAGGTCCGTAACTCACATTGTTTCACAGACTGACCTGTAATTCCCTGTGTAGTGCAGGAGAACCATCAACTCTTGTCACCTGGTTCCCACCTCCCAGGTGCTAGGGTTACAAGAGTGTGCCACCACATCATCCTTTTATGAGCTTATATAGTGCTCACTTCAGTCGTGGAAATGGTGATCATAATTGTAGATACTTACCCAAAAGAATTCTAAAAACTGCCATGGGAATAAATTATGAAGTTCCAAATATTTCCTGAGAAAGCATACTTAAAGAAGCAGTTACTCTGAACTCTTCATAATACTGTTTTTTTCATAACTTATGGTATATGTGTGTGTGTGTGTGTGTGTGCGTGTGTATTTGAGTCCTGATCTTTCCGTAGACTAGTGATAACTCAACCTGATTCTGTTGTAATTCTGGGTATCCTTAGTGAACTACAACTCCCAGACAGTTGCTTGGTCATAGAGGAAACAAAGCTGCACAAAGTACCGTGTTGCTAAGATCAGATATTCTCTTAAGTTTTTCTTTGTGTGTGTGTGTGTGTGTGTGTGTGTGTGTGTGTGTGAGGAGGGTTGTGTGTAGCCTTATGCATGCTCAGCAAGTGTTCTACCACTGATCTACATTCCCAGCCCTGTTAACTGTGTTTTGACTTAAAATATTTTTTATTTTTCTTGGGTGTATGGGAGCATGGCCCTATTGTAAAACAAGGAACATCTGTACCTGTATATTGTATTGTGATGACAGAATAAGGCTATTTCTATCAGAAGCTTGGGACTCTAGCACCCTCAGAGCTGCCCCAGTTAGGGCTGCAAACGCAATGTCTACCCATGAGATTCCCTAATTGGGATGCTCAGTTTAAAAGTTGTATGATGAAATGGTCAAAATTGTAAATTCTGTGCCGTGTGTATTTAATTGTTTAAATTTCTTGTGTTTTATAGGATTTTTTTTATTTATTTATTTATTTTTTTTTTTTTTAGAATTTAGGGCCTAGTGTAGCTTTCTAAAACCATTTAACTCTCACCATTTTAAAAATAAAATTCTTGATTCTACAGTAAATGCTTACCTCCCACAGTTGGATAACTGAGGAGTGTGAAGGGAAACTCAAATGTCAGGTAGACTCATGACACCAAAATTACATGGTTTAAGCCTCATGGAAGGCATTGGGTAATCCTTAAAATAGCCCTTGTTAACTTCCTTCTGTTTCCTTTGCTCTCTTCCAAACCTTCAATGTATTCTTCAAGCTTTTCTGTACAGTATTTTCATTTTCAACTGAAAAACCAGTCCAGGTTAAATAAGACAATTGAGCTAAGAGGGTGTGAAATGCCGATATTTCTTTCTCAATTCTCTGATTTGGACAATGCCATAAGGCAGTTTTTTTTTTAAAATCCAATTGTGTCTCACTACCTGTTTTACCTGTTTTTTGTTTGTTTGTTTGCTTTTTGTTTTGGGTTTTTTTTTTTCAAGGGTGCAGAGTCTTATATTACAGCTCAGGCTGTTCTAGAATGCACTGAAGTCCAGGCAGGCCTAAAACATATGGCCGTCCTCCACCTCCTCTCCCCAGGG